TTTTTTAAATTATCTTTTCTAATTTCATTTTCTAATTGTAATAGGTTTATTCTTAAATTTTATTTAGATTAGGATTAGTTTATTTCATTTTAGAATTTAGTTTCCTTATTTTAATTTTCTTTTATTAATAGGATTAGGGATAATTTGACCTATAAATATAGGGGTATTGCACACTTTTTAATCAATCAATCATATATCAAAACAAAGCAAGATTATTCCAATATAATTCTTACTTTCAATTCTTATTACAAGAATTTCTAAATGCTTCCGCACCAGAAATCCCTACGATGGGAAACTACTTCATTAGGTTTCCATCGTTGGTTTGAACCTGTCTTTAATGAATTCCACCCAGGGCCTTCTACCCTTGAGCTAATCCCTCATTATTTTCGCGCTTAGGAATACGTTTATTTGCTAATATAATGGCACTTATGCTCGATATTAATATTTTGTAGCATTCATCAATGATATACTTAGGTCTATTTTCTTCGGTCTAAATCTAAAGTCTTGTTTATTTTTCAGACCCTTGTATCAAATGTCGAGACCTAATTTTCTAATGGTATTAAAATTTTAAGGTATAATTTTGCTGGTCAATACATGTCCCACAAGTTTCATGATTTCTTACGCCACAAAGGAATTATCTCTCTGTGCTCATGTCCTTACACCATGCAGTAAAATAGTGTGGTACAATGAAAGACATTTCTTGGACATTCGTACCTTATTGCTCTAGTCCTCTGTTCCTTTCTAAATTTTGGGTTGAGGCCTTGTCGAGTGCAATTTACTTAATTAATAGACTGCCATATCAACAACATCCTAGCTCTCTCAATCTACATACTTTTGATTGCTCTGATGGCAAAGATGACTATGGTGTGAACAATTATTTCTATTGGTGCCTCCCAAAGCAAATTACTTCACCAAATGGACGCTGAAAAAGCTTTTCTTCATGGTGATCTCAAAAAGGATATTTATATGACTCCTCTCCCGAATTTGTTTTCTTTTCAGTTTTTTATTGTAAGTTGAAGCGGTCTCTCTATAGCTTGAAACAGGCTCCCCCAAGCTCTTTATTTCTTTGTAAGACTTCGATTGGTCTCGTTCTTTTACTTGTATATGTAGATGATATTATCATTATACCTTGATCACTCAACTTCAACAGCATCTTCAAGTTTCCTTTCATACGAGGGACTTTGGTCCTCTTACATATTGTTTAGGTTTAAATGAGCACATCGATCCTTACCGTATATTTATGAATCAACACAAACACTCAAGATTTGATTAAATTGGCTGGTCTTCAAGATTCTTCGACGGACACTCCGCTAGAAGTCAATGTTAAATATCTTAGTGAGGACGGTATCTTTCCATCCTAATGTGTTTGGACAAATGGTGGACAACTTTAACTATTTGACTATCCCTCGACTGCATCTTTCCTTCGTTATCCAGCAGGGTAGTCAATTTATGCAAGATCCATGCCATCTCCATTTAGCTGTAGTTCGTCATATAACTCGGTAAGTTTTTAGTTCACCTAGGCATAGATTGTTCTTCCCAACTAGCTCTCCTCTTCACTTTGTTGCTTATAGTGATGTGGATTGGGCTGGATGTTCTAATGCTTGACGGTCTATTAAAGGTTAGTACTTGTTTTTTTGTGATTCTTTGATTTCGTAGAAGAGTAAGAATGATGTAAGACAATCCTATTGTAGATAGGATAAAAATTAGATATTTATAATAAGATGTCTAGTTGTAATAGATTTCATTCTTTGATTCTTATTTCTTATATAGAATATGATTTCTAATTTCATTTATATTAGGATTTTAATTTATTTCCTTTTAGAATTTAGTTTTCTTATATTAATAGAATTAAGGAATATTTTTGCCTATAATTTCTTTTATATTAGGATTTTAATTTATTTCCTTGTAGAATTTAGTTTTCTTATATTAATAGGATTAAGGAATTTTTTTGCCTATAAATACAAAGGCATTGTACATTTTTCAACAACAATCAATTATTATTCAATATACACAAGATATGATTGTTCAAATATCGTTCTTATTTATTACATAATTCTTATTACAATAATTCATAAACGCTTCCACATCAAAATTGGTATCAGAGCAAGAAAATTGCCCCAATCTGATGGTTAACAATGGTCCTAATTGCGATGGAACCGTCGACGACGAACGGAAGCTCGACAAACTCGAACAACGAATCTACGGAATCGATGAAACCTTTCACGCAGATCACGCAGATGCTAACTGCGTTGAGTCTTAAAACGAATCGCGAGCTCATGAAGAAGCAAGCTGACAAGAATTTGCAAACTTTAACCGGTATGAATGTTGGTTGTTTCAATAAGCATAGAACACGACAACATGTGGCTAGAGAATTTCCTCAAGTCCTAGCCAAGTTCGAATATATACAAGTTATCAAGTATTCCTTACTTCAACAAAACTCGAGGGTGAGTTTTTTCACATGGGAAAGATTAATGTAGGACAATCATATTGTAGATAAGATAAAAATTAGATATTTATAATAAGAAGTCTAGATGTAATAGGTTTCATCTTATTATTCTTATTTAGAATATGATTTCTTTTTTTTATTAATTAGAATATGATTTCTAATTTCTTTTAGATTAGGATTTTAATTTATTTCCTTTTAAAATTTAGTTTCCTAATAATAAGAGGATTAGAAAATAATTTTGCCTATAAATACAGAGGCATTTTACACTTTTTCAACAACAATAAATTATTATTTAATATATACAAGACATGATTGTTCAAATATCATTCTTATTTATTACATAATTCTTATTACAAGAATTCTTAAACGCTTCTGCACCAAAGATACAAGCACATTTTCCTAAACCTTCTATCGAATCCAAATATCGTGCGATGTCAGCTACATGTTTTGAGATTGTCTGGCTTCATGGGATTTTGGTCGAGCTTGGTTTTTCTCATTATGATCCTACCCCCCTTCCTGACAATAGTACCATTCAGATAGCAGCTAATCCCGTTTACCACGAGCGTACAAATTATATTGAGGTGTACTATCATTCTACTTGGGGCCATGTTATGTGATGTACACATAGGGGTTGACATAATGTGAGTGGGGTGGGGCCCACGCTACTGGCTCACTCACATTATGTCATCCCCTATGGATTAATCTATGTACACACAAATTAATCCTTCTATTTGGGAAGCCTTCAACATTGAATACTCATGCCATTTCTCTTCCTCATGTTTCCACTGTCTAGATAGTTGACATCCTTATGAAGGCCATGACACGACTACGCCATCAATTCCTTGTGGGAAAATTAATGCTTCTTGATCGACCAACATCAATTTAAGGAGGCATGTCGGCCAGATTCTTAGCCAATTAGTCTCTCTATTTATGGCATGATTTTGTCAATATCTAGTAATTAGTAGAACAGACCTCGATGTTGTAATTGCTAAAATTCAATCTTGTAATTAGCTTAACAGTGCCTATAATGAGAGGAACCCTCCCAATGTGAGGCATTCTGTGCAATTGACATATATACACATGAGAGTGTTTGTGAGAGACGGAGTTTGTTTGTGCGTTAGTGATGCATGCAAGTACCCGAGCTCCTTGTACATATATCTTCATACGTGGATCTAAGAAGATGACCTCCAAGTACGATCTAAGAGAATAATCCAAAGGCACCTAAAAAATAAAAAGAAATCACAATCTCATTTGCATGTGGAATACGAATGTTATACTGATCAAATTAGAGTAGAGAAATATACCTTTTGAGATATTTGGCCTGGACGAGATCTTGTCCTCCTGGAACGAATGAATATGTCACCTTGATGGAAGGAACTCCCTCCACTCATCCCCGCTTCCCATTGCAGGCTATAATTTGATCCCCATACATCTAAATTCCATATAAATATTTGTGTGCCAGTGCTATTTCCACTGAACAGGCCTGCTTTTTCACCAATAAGGTACTTATCAAATGGAGAAAATTCCTTGATGATTTTCAAATTGTATTTTGCAAAAGCCTCGTTCTGGACACTCGTATCTACTTCCATAAACTGCCCAATTCTGCGGTAGCTTACAACAGGGATCTCCAAATTCTACAGCATAAGATTCACAGAAGAAAAAGAAGGTTTAGACAAGAATAGATAATTTGTAGGAAAATATGGAACCAAACAATGAACTCGAACGTGTTAGGGATTGATTGCATACGTCTTTTCCTTCATTTAGTGACTGGGAAAGAAATGCAATTGATCTGGAATTTGCAGTTTGGGTAAGAACCAAAGCATCTTTTCCAAGCCGCATAGCACCCGTCTGAGAAACAATGTCCATTAAACACAAGACCACATCATGTACATGAGGAAAAAACAATTTGAAACTAGAAAGATTAAATCTCAAAGGAAACCAATACCACTCTATTAAATAAAAAAGAAAGGATATTTTAACCATTTCTTATTAAAATAATTCTACAGAATTAACTCTTATGCAAGCCATCGCTTTTCTTAAATTAAAATAAAAAGCAAACATATTAGGCAACAGTCTCACAGTTATCTGTATCTCAACTACTCATAAACTGTTTTCTTCATATTTTTCAAGAGTTTAAAACACCAAAACAAGCACAGTCCTCCTGAATTATCTTATGTGAAACATCCTTTGGAATTGATATCAAAATTTCGGGGTTTCAACACTGTTCAGCCAACTCATGATAATTTATAGTCACAATCAATCTTGAATGACATTTAGAAATATTTCTCAATCGAGGATTGTTGACCTATTTTACATACCCATCAAAAGTTAGGGCCGAGATAAGGCCAAATATTATTAGAAATATAATTTGTCCAAACAAATGTTAACTATTTATCAGATCAAATCAAATCTAGCCACCTGTACTTTATGGAATTAACTGATGATCACGATAGAGGAATGAAACACCATTTTTTATGAAAATGATGATTAAAATCTTAGTGTTCAATACAAGGAATATCAGACAGAAAGAATCCTTTTCCTTCCTTTTACTGTCTCATAAGTTACAAACAAAAGAGTGATCAGCTTAAATGTGAAGACATGAGAAGACAAAACCAAGTTTAGAGATAGGACAGACCATAACATACAGACACCTATATCTGAGCTGATCATCACACCAGGCTATAATGGACCGTGATATCGCTTGTCAGTAATCAGTTGGGAAATGTCATGAGATAAAAGTTTTGCATTCAACTAGACAGCAGGTGTACACTGATAGGACCACTATTCGATTCCACTACTATTAATAGTATCAATGTATCATATTGTACAACTTAATTCTTCATCCTCAAGCTTTTTACTTCTATATCAAATACTATATTTTTATTTTTTCTCCAAAAATGAAAAGGAAAACCGCAACACGTAGTGTCCAATCCAGGAATTTACAAGTGAATTTGACAATTTGATTCTCCATATTATAAGAAAATAGGAAATTGCGAAAGGGGTCATGATCACTAAACAAAGCTAAAATCGTGAAGAAACGATAATGCATGGAATTTTTCCCCCTTTTCTTAATGGTGATTGAAATATTCTTATTATGAAGAATAGTTATTTATTTCCCTTTTTCCTATTCCTTTTTTGAAAGTTCTTCCGTACTCAATTGGAGGCATAAGCATTTCATTCCAAAAATGTTTGTGCAGCTACAAAAACACTAATCTAGACTACTTCATTAGATAAATGAAGATACCTTAAATCCAATCCCAAATCTTCCTATATGGTCCGGATCATCAGCTTCAGGCTGCACGTGCCCAAATGATATCATTCTCACAATATCTTGATGGCTCATACCATGGCCATCATCTATTATTGACAACATGGGAATATCTTTACCAGCAGTTTTTGAATATAGCATACCGATACTGATTTCCAGTCTGTAAAACACAACGAAAGCCATATTAATTAACAAAAGTATGTGTTTTAACACAAACAGAGACTATAGTACTCACTGACGACACAACAAACACACAAAAGAAAAAAATAAATAAAAAGAAATAAAGTTATATTATAAAAAAGGAATTACAGTAAATTCGAGATATACCGAAACTGGCCGGAGAAAAAGATGGAAAGAAAAAGACTTAGACGAACATGAGCATGACAACTTGTAGAAATCCCGAATCAATTATGGGATGATTGTAATATTAGTATATGGTATAATTAGAATTAAGTTAGGGAATATCTTTTCTTTCTTAAGTTAGAATATTATTTTTCCTTTTCTTCTCCATTGTAATGTACTATATATAGTGGCATAAAGTTGTAAGAATAATTCAAGAAAGAATAAAATTATTTCTTCCACTATTATCTATACAACTATTAATGGAGAATGGAAACTTAACATCGCCAACATAGACAGAATAAACAAGTAGAAAACAAAAGATCATATACACCTACTTGGTTGCTTTGGCATCTCTTGAATTGTCAACAAGCTCAGCAACTGCACCAAATATCCAGCTGGAATGAGCTTGACCGAGAGTTTTCAAATAACTAGGATGTGCTATTGCATAATTTCTCCCCAAGGACCTACCACATCCCACAGAATTTCCTGGTCTGCTGCTATCTTTCACCATCAAATTTGGAGAGTGATCTGCAATTACTTTTGAAGATTTGCATTCAGCAGAATGTCTATCGCATATCAGGTCATATTTTGACACAGTACCTTCACCAATAGGACGTGGCTGCATAACTTGGACACTATTTTTCTTTGATTGAATTCTTGGATGAATAGGCCTACATGCCGCATCATTGAAATCCATACATCTAGGCAGTGATGCAATTTCAGCAGCATTAATATCTGCCCAATAGGCAACAGTATAATGTCAAATCAGCTTCAGTAATACTACTATACATTACTCAGCTATGACATAATTGGTAAGGAGATTTTATTATCTTATGTCTTGAGAAACAAGGTCGATGCATGTAGGAGCAGATTAACTCTTTAACAATGTATAAATTTGATAGTTGGAGAACAATAAAGGAAATTGAGTCCAGTTATTTTGCCCACCCAATCCAACATGCCTTTGACTAGAATACCCATTAAGCTTTTTCTCCATCTTGTACAGAACAGCTCCAGCGTCAAACTCTGAGTTTTCATCTGGAGGAAGAATGTAGATTTCATAGAATCCAAGCTTTGAGATAGCAACCTTCAAAAAGGTAAAAACTGTAAGAGAAGCACAAAATGGATCTTATTCTCTTAAAAATTATGTTTCTGAAAAAATTCAAACAAAAAGGTGAAACAAAACAAAAGAAAAAACCCTGTAAAATGAATTCTAAATGCATCTTGTTCCCTTAACAAAATTGTTTCGGAAAAAATTCAAACAAAAAGGTGGAAAAAAAACACTATTAAAACTAAATTCTAACTTCCAAGTAAAAATCATATCTAGTATCTTCTTAGTGCCAAAAAAAATAAAAACAAAAAATAACTGGCTGTCTGATTACCTCGGAGGCAAAACAAGCCCCTCTTGAGGTCAAAAGGTGATGAGTGTATTTCACTCGTACTTTTGATGCCACTTAATCTTGATATTTTGTTTGTCGTTGATAGTTTTAGAATGTTTTGATGTGTTGGTTCACGTTATTTTATAGGTTAGATAACTTGGTGAAAATGGCGAGTTTGGAGATTGAAAAGGAACAAAGCAATGTGACAATATGAATCAAGGAAAGTAAGACTTAAAAGTGTGCAAGAGAGGCGGAGAAAGAAGCTAAAGTTGAAGAATAATTTTGAAGGAAAATTTTGAGCAGCTGGTGCCGCGGTGCCACATTTAACAAGAAAAGAACAAGCAGGAACAGGGCACCCAGCGCCACCTTCAAGGCGCCCGTGCCAAATCTTGAATCAAAAATTTAGAAATCAGCTCCCTAGCGCCACCAACCGAGCTCCAAGGCACCAGCCAAAGAACCATTGTGCGCCATGCTTATGGCGGCAGCGAGAGTTAGGTTTTTATTTTTCTTGGCCCGTTAAAAGCCCACAACGACTCCAAATTCGAGACAACATTAGAAAGACATAAATACAACTGAAAAAGGGACTTTCACAAGACAAAAATTCAACAAGACAAGAAGCGAGAGATCAAGCAAGAAAGCAAAAGCAACATCACGAAGAAGATTGAATCACTTTTTCTCTTTTATTCTATATGTTTTTTATTATAAATTTTATTATGTCTTTTTCATCTATCATGAACTAATCTTCGCATCTAAGGTTTGATGTAATCGACACTTAAACTATGTTTTGATTTGAAATAGTTATTTCATTGAGATTTTCCACTACATTTAGTTGTGTTATTTGAATTTAATGCTTTCAATTAACTAGCCATTGATTGAATGAGTTAATTGTTTAAGTTTCGGCACTCAAGAGAGGGAACCTTAGACTTGATCATAGAATAACACAGCCAAGGTTTTATCGGTTTCGAAAGAAGTATAAACCCTTTCAAGCGATTCCACATAAGAGCAATAGAGCTTGATAATTTTTAGACTTTTAATTCAGAATAGAGATATTAGAATTGAATTATGGGAATAACTTTCACTCGGCACTCGAGAGTGAGAGTAGAATTAAATTAAGGTTATTGTTTATAAACATGGTAAAATTAATTAGAGAACTATATAATTGAGAAACATTGTCAATAGTTAGATGAAATCAAAATCCCTAGGCTTTCTTAGATTGATTAATTCTTCTAAATTGCATAAAATCATTAAGTTCGTCATAAAAAATTCACATTATAATTAGATAAAACATTGATAATACAAATTCGATCGTCTCGATAAAATAAGGGTTATTCAATTATAGTACTTAGTATATAATTGATATTCATTCCCCGTGAATTCGACATCCTAACTTCATAGTTATATTACACAAGGTTTTAAAAGGTGAAACTTAGTACTGAGGCGGTTTTTCTTTATGAAGCGAGGCGAAAGTCTTGAGGTGGATTGAGGCATAAGCCTCACAAAAAACAAAAAATCTAAGTAAAAGAATTATAAAATAATACAAAAATACAAAAAAATAAAAGTTGGATCATATAGTAAATAAGATATATAGTCATTAGCATATTGAGATATAGTCCACCTAAAGAAAGAAGATGTTTAGCAAAAAAAAGCATTACAGAAGTTAGAAATCACTCCATTTGTAATGGAAAAAAAGAAGCAGCTTAAACTAAAAAAAAAGCCTAAGATGTGGAACAGCATAAATCTGGGTATACTGTTGCATGAAGATTTGACAATGATGTGGGGATATTGAAGAGATGTTACAGATTAAGAAGTATGGATACATGAGTTTTAGAGTTTATACAAGTGATTGGATGAAATCGTGTGTTAATTATATAAATCAAAATATTTATAAAATTTATAATTTCCAAATGTGTATATGAAGCAACTAATTGCATGCAAGATTTACGGAACCCTAAGAAGAAAAAGAAGAAGAAAAAGAAAAGAGGAAAAAATACCTGATAAGCTGATGAAGAAGACGATACTCTTCTTGAATTCTGACTTTTGAATTTCCGCTGAATCTGTCCTTTTTTGGTCCTCTAATTTCATGTTACCATTTAGTTTTCTAGGTATTTTATNAAATCAAATTTTAAATGAGGCGTGAACCTTGAGGCGTGCGCCTCATATTTAGAGGTGTGAGCCTCATATTTTTAGCCTCAAAAATACTATCTCGAGGCATACTACATGCGCCTCACTACCGTCTTTTTAAACCATGATATTACAAAACTTAGCATCATATGCTTACGGTATAATTGTGGTATAGTAAACACGTATCAAAAGGACAAGATTTATTATGATTATTTCAAGAAAATCAAATATTATTACATTCCTCCTAAATTCGTCCATCCCGTGACCAAGAAAAGAGTGCAATAACAATAATAAGATATTTACTTTAGCTTTGTTGAACTGGATTATTTTCCTTTGAAATGTAAGGTCAGAAAAACTCAAAAGACTTAGCAATAAAGAAACATTTAAACGGGGATGATGTTGTAAATAAGTACAATATAATTTTACCTTATTGTACTTCCGCAAGAAATTCAAGAAGAGACCCCACTCTCTTTCCTGATGCGAATTTTCAAAACCCGGGCATAGGAGAAGACAAGGTAATCCAGAGAGAAAATTAATTTTTTCTCGCCGAACAAAAGAAGATATGTCCCAAATTCGAGGTCTGTCAAGAAAACCCAATTAATGAACCATTGCGAACAATTTGCATCGTAGAGCATGTTTGGAAAAGTGTTTAGAAAGAGTTTATATTATAAATAGATAGAAATGAGTCGTGGGATAAGTTGATAATACTTGTGAATCTATCGAAAAGTGTGAATAAAAAGTGATTTGAGTGTTTATAAACAGTTCATAAATATTAGCTAAAGGTACACTAGAAAAGAAGTTATTTCAACTACCGGGAGTGAGAAATCAAAGAGGAAAAGAAAGATTTTTCACAGAATTCTCCGAATAACTATGACATGATCTATGCGCGTGGGCGCTTTATGCATATGTTTATGTAAAAACACAAACACAAAAATAAAAACATATTTGGAACTAAAACATATTACTTGGATGTGTTCCAAATATTAATTTCATACTAATTGTTTTAGAATATAACTCTTAAGATGCCCAAATATTACCCATGATTCTTAATTAATGTGGTTACTGTATACAGGAATAACTTTCTAAAATTTTTTAAATGTTAGCAGTTGATTTATTTCATCTATGTGGCTATTTTGTGTCTTAATACATGAGAATGTCTCTACAGCGCCTCTACGTTCTATCACCTGCCTTCATCCTAGTGTTATTGACGCATATGATATAGCAACACAGTCTACAGGGCTTGTAGATTTTCATTTCTCATTCTATGCGCCTTAATACATGAATGATGAACATATATTCCCACAGCCATAAATTATAACAAACTCAAGCACTTTTGACCACAGGTAGGCACCCTCCCAGCTGCAATGTAGGTTACCTACCTAGGTCATGGACATTTTTGATCACCCATGGACCCAGTCCAATTCAATTTCTCGTCCATTACCAAGAACTACTGACTACAAACTAAGGAACTAAGCCATGAACACATGAATAAAAATATGTATCGATGTATCCGTTTATCTAGCTTGGGTCCATCTCAACATTATCATCCTCTTCTTCTGAGGAAATCAAATTACATTAACAAAATAAGATAAGTACACAAGCCTTATCGTTAACTTTTGACGCCAAAAATGATTCAATAGTTTGGTTTGATTTTTACCAGGCACTATCTTTAACATTTGGTTTTATATAGAGTGAGTGTGAGAATCATTTCGTGGTTCATTAGTGAATACATCCATCATTGAAACATAATTAGAAAAAGAACTTCTAAGGCAGTCAAATCAGAATGCAGATCTAGAAATATAAACCATAATGTCGATATCAAAATTTAATATGATAGGTAGTATGTGACAGCTACAAGTAGTAACAAGAAATGAATGAATATTTTTTGTATATATTTTTGGTATATTGCAATAAAATCTAACAAGATTTTCATCAGCAAACAAAAGTGATAAAATCATAAATTTGCACAAGTGCACAACCAATTACTCATCAATGTAACATTGCAGATGACTGTGCTACCCCTACAAATGAATTCTTTTGCAATAATATAAGAACTGGACCAGACTGTTCGACCAAAAAAACCAAGAACTGGTCCTTATATGTGAAAACCTGTTAATTTAGAGTCCATTAAAATAACCGCAGAGCCGGTCAATTCAAGACCAAACTGGTTGGTTCACCCCAAATGTTTTGTTCATTCATTTAATTTTTACCTCTGATTCAAGCCTTCAACCCTTGACCCTTTAAATTTTATGGGTCAATGCCTTGCCCTGTTTGTATAACATTGTTCATTTCCCTTTTTGTTCACAATTGTGATTAAATGATGAAATGGGTTCCCTTTAGGTAAATCAATATGTACTCGCATAACCAAACCAAAAAGTGGTCACCTGAAATCACTTTAGTAGATTGGGAGTTCCAGCTTAAGTGCTTACACGGTTAAGCTTTCAAGTGCTTATAATTTCAAAAAATATGTAGTTAAAAAGTAGATAAATGTTGTGGGTCCAAGGAATGTGTGGTTAAAAATGATATTTGATAACCTTACAAGCACTTAAAAATTTTGCCAAACATACACTAAATCTCAGGTGTAGCTCATATGATAACAATACATCACAAGCTTTGACTTGAACCAAGAGTAATCAAGATTTAACAAATTTAACTGTCTTCCGGAAAAAGAAAACGTCATCTCATGGTCAACTACCAGATTTTACTAATGATTCAATACATAGGGGAAATGCAACCGTCATAATCACCAAGCCAAACGCTCACATGCAACATGCAAGAAACCAAATAGAAAAAAAATGCATGAAATCATAGTGACATATGCTAAAAAGCTAAACCAAGGAAAAACATCAAGGTATTAGTAGAAATAGAATTTTGCTTATGGCATAAAAGCTTTCACAAATGAATAGTAGAAGGACCAATCAGCAAATGTAGTGCGTAAAAGATAGCATACATTTCATTGGGAAGGTTATGGGCCTTACGGCATACTGTCCGACTTATGATTCTCTTATCCTTAGTCAGCAAAACATAACATTCAAACATATCTGCAAAACTTCGCATGAAAAAGTTAGAAATAGATAATAATATAATGTAAACAATTATTTGACAACCCTTGAACTGTAAAGCATGAACATAAGAGGGGACATAAGATAGAAAAACCTAGATCAGCAAAGCAGAAAATGCTAGTATTATTCCACATAGAATATAATTCATTGCGTATATGCTGCTTGTTATATCTATTTACTTTAATGTGTTGGTAAATATCTAACAGCAACATGTTTCCACGATCAGTGTATTCAGATTTTCAGAATATGTTCTTGATTGGGTAAAACATTCATGTATATGACTATTACACCTTTATTCCTCTCAACCAGTTGTTAAATAATTCAGTACAAACAGAGATACAGAGAAGAACGGAGAAACAAATAATCAAAAAGAGACAGTTACCTTCATTTGAGAACTCCTTTTTCAAGTTACTATCTTCCATTAGTAACCCTAATATATAACAAGCCACCAAGCAATCAATTAGGAGGGGAAAAAAAAAGGTGAATGCAGAGAGCAAACAACTCTCTAGAAAGAAAAGTGAATCACTAATATAAACAAAATGACAAGGGTATCTTAAAAACGAAATTTCAGATACTGACCATTGCATCAATCAATAGTTACATACAATGATGGCAAATAACAAAGTTTTTTTTGTAAAGATAATAATAGGAATTATCAAGTTCGCAATGTCAGGAAGTGTATTCAGCCATGTATAAGAATCAAATATTTCCACTGCATGACATCCGATCTTCTATGACATGTGAACATATGAAATGCTTGAATCATCATAAGTTTGTATACCTAGAATAATATTCATCAATTTTTTAGTGTGAGCAATGTTTATACTCCAAAAAGAAGATCATATTCCCCAAAAATATTATATACAAGTTCACAGTCCAATACAGCCACAGTGATTTCAACAGTAAATCCATAGTATTACTTTTGACTCATGATATATCCTTCACTCATAAAAGTAAGTTATCACTGCTGGCAGACTCATAAATGTCATGTTGACTACAACTTTTCGTGGTAATCATTTGCTAATCTAGCACATCCTTATAATTGATTTTGAGGTTTGGTAGGCAGCATAACTCTATTTTTAGTCTGGCAGGTCAGAGAAAAGATGTACGTCAATTTACATTTTTGATTCACCCTTATAAATGAATCCATTGTTCATCATTTAGGAAAGTTCTATTAAAATTTAAGTTAACATCCTTGTAAGTCAGAACTCTCCCACCAGAGAACTTCAGCTCCTATCAAGATCCAAGTAACTGCATGCATTATGCATCAATTATTTCATACAAGTACGAGACTTGTAAATAAGAACTTTTTAAACTACTGTAAATTAGCACCCTCTAGGCAATTATGCTAACACCTCTTTTACCAAATGCTTCATTCATATGACACTCAGAAATTGTATAAAACTAATAACATTTGAAGGGTGCATCATTTCACTATTGAGACAATCAATAAATTATGTATGAAATATAACCATCTGAAAGAGTTAATGCCAAAATGAAGAACCACGCAACATACATGAACGGATACGGCTTCCATAATTATTAGCGTCAAATGTGCTCATACCAAGAAGCAACTTGCTTAGATTGTTGAATAATTACTATTACTATTACTAGAAGGCTTTCTTTGCTTTCCAATTCTATGGTCCATGGTCAAAGCCATTATAAGTATCAAATGGATAAAACTCAAAATAACAAATAAGGCAAAGGAAAAACAAATAAGGGAGTGGATACAAATCAAATTCACAAAAATATTTCTTGGTACTACATCATGATATCATGCCTAGCTCAGCATATAATTCCACCAATAAGAAGTTGTCAAACAAATAAAAGGTAAAATCGAATACTAAACTAACATAACTTGGCATGCAAATAAGGGAGAAACTAAGGTGGCTCCACTTATTAGTAAAGTTGTTAACCACCTCAACTAAAAGCTAAAGATTACATAAAAGGGAATAACTTACTTGTTTAAAATTTAGGCCCTATTTGGGAGAAATTTTAATCAGGATTTTAATCAAAAATCTAGCCGTTAACTATCAAATCAGCCACCATTTTTTACCTTCCCTCTCACAGGTGGAGCCCACGGGTTGACTTTAACGGCTATAATTTTGATTAAAATCCCACAAAAATTTCTCTCAAACACACTCTTAGTAATTAACACGCGTCCTTTCGTGGATTCTAAAATCATATTTACATCAAAGCCTAACAATTACACAATTATTTGCAACGAAAATTGACTTGAGATCTCTATTTGCTTCGATACCCTATTAAACCGGTAAACTGACATAGCTTGGCATGCAAGTACGGGAGAAGCTAAGTTGGCTCCACTTATTGGTGGTGATGTTAATCAACTCAACAAAAAGCTAAAGATTGCATGGGACTAATTTATTTATTTACTACTTGGTATTTTATCAAAATCCCCTTCACTTGTAGTTTACGTACAGATTTCATATATGGGGAGATTATACTCGGACATAGACCTCATCTAGGCTCTAATACCATGTTGGAATCTACAACCGGAACGTCATCTAAAAGCACTCAGATACTTTTTTCTTGCGAGCAATGGCATATTAATAGGACTGTACAATAAATGCTTACAGAGTGTGTGGATGCACTCTGTTTTCTGTATTGTTATTGACCAGTATTGCATCCACAGTTATATGTAGGCACGGGGGTTATTCTAGGAGAGAGAGTGCAGACCCAAATTATTGTTCATGAAACTTCTCATCATGGTGATACGTGATTGGATCATAGTGACATCGTAGGTTTGTGAGTCAACGTGCGGTAAAAATGGAATTTTGACCATTTATAAATGATTTACAGACATTGTCAAACGAAGTGATCGATTACTACGTCCATTAGACAAAGCATAGAGGTTCCTAGACCACCAATTACAAGCTAAAAGCTTGTTTGGCATAGATTTTTCAGAATTCTCGATCATTTTTAACCATACATTTCACCCATAGCTTTTATCCACTTTTTCACCGAACTTTCTCCAACTAATTTTGATTTATCACATGAGAAAATATGTACCAAACAAGCTCTAAGTTACCTATCCAATCTTAAAAGCAGCCAATGACCATGGTGGGGCCCAGTGAAGTGTTGGCAACATTCGATCAGACATGGTTGTCTAATGTGTCACCAGACCATCTTATTGACTAAAACAGCACGGGGCTATTCCAAATATCAAATGTATCTCTATTCCAACTCAAGAGGCATAACAATGACTGCAGTTAACTACCACTCTGGATCTGGACTATTCATGTTCCACACCACCCACTAACGTGTAATTTATACACAAATACTCTCCTCACTCCTTAGGCCTCATTCTTTAAATCTTAGCCCTTGTTTGACAACCATTAAAAAAAATTTGGGAAAAATTAGCTTTGGAGGACGTGTCACTAAAAATGAGTATAAGAAAAAAATGATTGTCAAACGGGGCTTATTTTCCTTCAAAGACATGCACGTTTTTTCAATAAAATAAATTTTCACCCAGACCCAAAATCTTTTCTGAAAAATGGGACTTAAACCGGGGCTGAAAGTGCAACAGATAAATGAAGAGTCTAAACTCTGTAAAAATACTGTGCGTAATAATGACCACTTCGCATCACCAACAATGCCAGAAACAATTGAATACATAATACAAATTTCACTTTTCAGTCTAGCATTAAAACCCTAGACCAACATCAGCATGCAACCAGATTTTCAAATCTCTTCACAACACGCGTTGATAGGCATAAAAGGGCTGAAAAGTCACTCAAATGAAGAGATAAATTACTTAAGTTCTCTTCGAAGTTAAAATCGTAAAAAATTGCAAAAATAACATTTCTTAAACATCAAAATCTTCAGATAAACTCAACACAGAAACAAAAAAAAGTAAAAAATAAAAGTTGTACTGCTCGTACTAATTTTATACTGGAATATAGCCGAATAATGAAAAAAAAATAAGATAGATGCAAAAGCAGGAAGACGTAAGACATGTGATTATAATTACCGAAGGCTTGTTGATTTGAAAATTTGGAGAGATAAAAGAGGCGGTGAACTCGGCTTCGAAACGAAGAATTTTAAGCGTTTCCTGTTTGTGTGTGAGAGAGATTTGCTACGAGGAGTCGTGTGTGATGACGGAGTGGTGGAATGGAAAAACACGAGAATTTTAAATTGCATTTGCCTCCATAATTAATGCTGAAAAGACGATCGCATCCTTTGAATTCGTTTTCCTTATTCAAGTTAGCCATGATTGATACCGTTAAAAATCTGATTAATTCGGTTCTCGTAATTTTTAAAATATATTTTTATTTCTTTTATTTTTCAACTATACATTTTCTGATTAAATAATATTATAGGTAAATTCAATTTTTTATTTTTTTTAACCACACAATCTCCATCAAATCACTATTCCAAAATGCATTTTTGGCAAGAAAATGGGGATCAAACATTTCAGAGGGAAAAATTAATTTTTAGTCACACATTTCATAGGGAAAAATTAATGTTTTTTAACTTTCAAATACAACAATCTGGCTTTAACTTTATTATTTCATAAATCAAGTTATAATTGAATTATTTAATTTTAAATTTATAATATAATATTACTAATTAAAGTTTCAAATTATTATTAATTTTTTTGTTTCATACTAGTTTTATAGAAGTTTCAGTTCGTAGGTAAGTTGTGTTTTTTAATTATTTGGTGTTTTTCGTCTTCATTATTTTAAACCATATATGTTACCTGATTTGTTTTATAATTATCCTTTGATTATGCTCTGATTTTGTATTGTGGCCTGATTTTGTTTTGATCGTGACATTTGTGTTCTTCAATTATTCTATAATTGTATCATGGATTTTTCTCTGGTTGTGACCTGATTGTTATTCAATTATTTGATGATACATTCCAGAATGGGGATTGTAGCTAAGGGTCCGTTTGATTGCAATGGTGAAAAATAGGTGGAAAGAAAATATTCTATAGGGAATTGATTTTCTTAGAAAATATTTTACTAGGAATTGTAATTAATTATATTTGATTTGTATAATTTTTCATGGAAAATGTTGAAAATTTGGTGTCCATTTGACTTCATTTTTTATGGAATTTGTCCATTAAAATGATAATTTTTTCTACTATTGAGTCCAAATTTGTTCTCATTGTCAAAAAAAAATTTTGACAAAAAAAAATTTATCATACCGATTATCATTCGTTTGATTTTATTTTGCACGAAAGTTGTCGATAAAAGTGAATTTTTTTTTACCATTGTATATAGAATTTGTTCTCATTGCAACAAAAACAAAAAAAACAAAAAAAATGGAAAATGTTTTCCCACCTATTAGGTGAAAAAATATTTTCCACCATTTGTGCATCAAAGGGTTGTACCTAGAAAAATGGAGGAAAACATTTTCCGTGTAAAATTTCGCATATCAAACAGTCAAAAAAGTGAAA